TCCAAGCGTGCCTCAATTTTTATGAAGATTAATAAACTATTGTTGACATTGCAGCTATGGTTAAATAATGATGTAAATATGTATTAAGTTATAGTTCAGTCAGTCTAGCCAAATGTTATAGAGGCAAAACTGTTTTAGAATTAGTCACGATCATGATTTATTTTGGAACATCTCAAAATGAACATGATTTATGATAGGTCATTCGATTTCCAACAATCCCACAGTTACGATTTTGAAACAATGTCTCAATCATGAATATGATTTGTACACCATTATTATACTTTGTTTTGCAAATATGCCGCGATTAATCTGATGCTATAATTTTAAATACCTATACCTACCATCATTGAACATGCGCCTTACTATTTCGTGAAATACTGTGATAGGCGTCATCTGAGCCAGCACTGCTCCATCACTGAGACATGCGTCTGAGGCTTCGGTGAAATTACTAGTTTCGCTGGACAATTTCAGACAGGTTCCATCGATGAAAATGTAGTCAGGTGGGCACCTCACTTGAATAGAATAACACACGAGAAAAATAGACCAAAATTAAATTTCAGAAAGACAATTTAATTGTTTCACTTTGCCGATATAATCGTTTACAATGAGTGAGTGAAATTACCTAAGTTACCTATGTTAATGCCAGAGAATAATCAGTTTCGATAATCTGCAAATTCTGAATCCATTAGGCATGAAACAGAAACGGCGAATTAAGAACCACATCTATTAAAAGAGAAATGATAGATCAGTAGGTAAAATATATATCTATGAGTATATGAGTGAGTGTAGTTTACGCCACTTTTAGCATTATTCCAGCAACATCACGGCGGAGTACACCAGAAATGGGTTTCACACATTGTACCCATGTGAGGAATGGAACCCGGGTGTTCGGCGTGACGAGTGAACGCGTTTACCACAAGGCTACCCAACCGTCCCAATGAGCATGTACTCACCGATCATTGTATATGATTGCATCCCCTCATCATCGAGAGACTCGGTCTCGACTTCTGGACCGACGATATCAGACATCATGTGACAAAGTTCAGCCGACTCAGTGAAGGAAACGGAACGACACTCAGGCTCCCCAGCACATGTTTTAGCACACTGAATGAGGCTCGTAGAGGACAGTGTTTTGTACGAGGCTATGGCGTTGCGTTTGATAGAGTCCTGTTGAAACTTTGAGACTTTACAGTTCACCAAATAAACGAAATCCCATTGGGCAAGGAACATGGACGCTATGAGAAGAACCTCCATCTGTGTCGTATTACCATATATCTGAGAAAGCTGCACAACTGGCTACTGATTGACCCGTGGACCGTCTTAGTTGAGCAAATTTAGAGAATATCTGACATGGCTGCCGATAACAGCACAATGGATTGATTACCTAACATCGTATTATTGGTATCAAGTGCTTAATAAATAATGGACAGTCTGAGATTTGTTCATCCGACACAATATCAATATGTAGTAATTATTTTGGTGATGGAAATTCTGCCTACTGTATATCACGGTACAATGGCATCAATATCAATCAGAAGAAAATAAACAGAAAAGTCGAAAGTTAATTCATTGAAGTATCTGTCATGACTGTATAATGTCATGCTGTTCGTGAAAATATATTATGACCGTAGACATTTCTGTTGAAGGAGGATCAAGCTACTCAAACATTGATCGAATGGTAAGTCCAAAATGTGTCCATTATTACGATGCAGTCCGCAAAGACACGCTCTGCCAATAGTTCAGGGCTTTTCTATCACACCATTATTGTCACTGCTTTACAATGTTGCAGTTTCTATATCTCCCGTAAGTCACGCGACGCGCTACTTCCGATACCAGATTTCCGGTGACATCAGTCAATTTGAAAAGCTTCCAGACAGTGAATATTGAATCAGGGGTATGTTGCAAATATCACACGTGTTGCTAATGGAGGATACGTGTGAATGTTTCTTCTAAATGTCTGAGGAATAATACTTGTATATGATTGTTCATGAATTTGTTTTGGATAATGACTAAATGTATTAGTATCAGCAAACGTGGTTGATAAATTAGCCGAGGATATGAAGTATCATTAATCCTAGTGAGTGAGTTAAAATTTATAGTCACATCGGCAACATTTCAGCCATATTGTGACTTAAAAAGTTATAAATTAACAATAAACACATTACAAGACACCTGTCGACGAAGGACAGTAAAACAACTAGATTATCACAGGAATAAATTTAAGACTAGTAATTAAATCAAAAATATTTAACCTATAAATGACAATACAATATATAAACCGGCTATAGATTGCCAACAATGGAAGGTAGATCACCATACTAGGGACCATGGGGACTTACAGTACTCATTGATCCTATGTAGAATGTGTTTCAATAATAGTATGTCCTTTTTTTCATAAAAACACATTCATGAGCGCCCAACACAACATCTCATATTCGTTAATAGACGAATGTTCGTTGATAGTGTTTGACGGCGCACAAGGTTGTCCCCACGCATGGGCAACGAAACCAACAATGTCACGTTATTGAAGACAAACACTTCATGTCAAAAGAGTAAGATGATTCCTGTATGATGTGCGGTCGATCATAGATGAGAGACAGAATGCGATCATTTCCTACGACTGAGACCTGTTCAGATATTGTGTAGGAACCAACACACATCATAGCTTTGTAAATGTCTTGCTGTTCACAAACATGTAGATATTAGATATGGATATTCCTGTATTGTGATAGAACATCAGAACCCGCCTCAATATACAAATACAATAATATGTAATCTAATAGAAATACATTTACCTATACAGCATCTACGTGAGTTGTGTGAAATTTAATACACAACATCTACATGACTTTTGTGATAATAAATGTACAGCATCTATGTGAGAAGTTAGATACTGAAGATGCAACATTCACGTGAGTTGTATGATGCTAAACATACAGCAGGTAGCAAAGGTACTGTAAGTCCCCATGGTCCCTAGTATGGTGATCTACCTTCAGTAGTTGGGGATCTATAGCCTAGTTTTAGATTGTATTGTCCAAATAGTGCTATCAGTTTTAACTTTCCACACTAGTTTTAGCTGTAATTGCGATATTCTAGTTGTTTTACTGTCCTTCGTCGACAGGTTTTTATAATAGACATATATTCCATTTCAATGTCAAATATGTTCTCGTCACGATATGGCTGAAATATTGCCGATGTGACGTTAAAGATTAACTCACTCACTCACTCACTAAACATACATCATCTACGTGACTTACGTAATACTAGAGATATACAGAATTTACGTTAATTGTGAGATACATGTACTAGATATGTAGCATCCACATGAGATGTGTGATCATACAGTATTTATGTCATTTGTGTTACCCTGTGATAGTGCTTGTGCAACATCTGCCTGATTTTAATTAGTTTTACACAAACCATTCGCTTATGAACGCTTTCTCCGACATCGAATAATGAGTCAATGATGCCATATATTATTCACTCGGGGTGATCAATGTTGAAGTCCTAGTTGGAAAACAGTTACTGAGTGATTCAATGATGTCACGGGTCAGGATCAGTCCACTGGAAGTGGATCACGGTACGGTACACAAGAGACGTGTTTGTTGTTGAGACTGCGAGCAAACTACTCGGTGTATTATGTTGTCTGCTCAGAGAAACACTCTGCTCTATGTCTTTACTTGCCCGATTACTATGCCACTATTATATGCAGGTTAATAAAGATGTCCACACTACATAAAACCAGTACTAGAGATTAAAATTAGTCTAAATTGGAGCTTTGTGACTACCCATGCATGACTCCTTTTTTATTTGTATGTCAAATAGGGCAGGTGGGGTAGTCTAATGGTTAAAGCGTCAGCTCGTCACGTTGATGACCCGGGTTCCATTGCCCACATGCGAACAATGTGTGAAGCCAGTTTCTGGTGTCCCCCTCCCTGATATTACTAGAATATTGATAAAAGCAGCGTAAAACCATACTCACTCACTCACTCAGTGTATGTCGAAGGGTTCTCCAGCATATACCTCATTTTAGCAAAGCTTCATTCGACATGAAACCACCTCATCTGTGTCGGGGCGGTGGGGTAGCCTAGTGGTTAAAGCGTTGGCTCGTCACGCCGAAGACCCGGGTTCGAATCCCCACATGGGTGCAATGTGTGAAGCCCATTTCTGGTGTCCCCCACCGTGATGTTGCTGGAATATTGCTAAAAGCGGCGTAAAACCAAACTCAGTCAATCAGTCATCTGTGTCATATACTGATAGAAACAAATAAAGAATCACAGGAAAATTCAAACATTCCTTGAATTCAAAGCTGGTGATGAAAACTGGAAAATATTAAAGGAATGCTTGAATTTTCCTGTGATCCTTTATTTGTTTCTCTCAATATATTTAGATTTGTTCATGAAGATGAGAGACTGAAGGCTCTTTACATTCTGTAAGCCATTTCTGGTGTTCCGTGATATTGCTGGAACATTGCTAAATGTTGCGTAAAACTACAGTCACTCATTCACTCACATTCTGTGAGAAAAAAGATAATGCTACGTGTCCAATAGTCAACCCTCCTTTAATGTTGAAAAATATTACAACAGCTGCAGCCTTGGGTGATGACAACGTGTAATATATAATAAAACACGAAATGATATTTCCTGGAGTACTTCAAATCAATCAATATATTTTGTTACTTTGTAAATCCTACTACTGGTCTACACTCCAGAATATAAACATTGGCGTGGTAACATCTGGGATGGGGCCAAAGATTCAACACCGTAAAGAGACAAATTTCACCTCAACCTGCAGAAATGTCACTTAACTATGAATATGGTAACGTTTTCAGATGTAAGGATGCAGTTGGCACCAGTCACTTTGCAAATAGAGACATGACAAAGTTTGGGTATTAACCAAGTAAAACAAACACTTTGGTGGCTTTAACTGCTTATACTCAGGTGAGCTCAAAATACATTACACAAGAAGAGAGAGCCATGCATGTGTGCAACAACATTTGATCTGAAATTGTTGGCAAACCTCAGTGGTCAGAATGTATATTTGTCAAATTGTAACATCTTGACACCAATCAGGACAAGGTGAGTGTAGCTACGGAAATAAATCGAATGAGACGAAGGATTCCCACTTCTTGCACAATTACTGAGACCAAGTGAAGTCATTATTGTTCAACTTAAAATATCTGTCAGTGGATCCATGTCCATGAATACAGCCGTCATCTGATTTAGCAAGCGTTAGAACCAAGTGGCTGTGTTTGGCAGAGATAGCGTCCGTCGTTTCTGCAAACGTAGTCGACGAAAAAGGCCCCAGTTGCAGCCCACACGTAGAGGCTGAGGCAGTCCTCATCCCCACCGAGGTCATTGGGATCTCCCGTTAGCCACGGACTTATCGGGGTACCATCATTCCATCTCCAGGTGCCTTCCTCCTCAGTGTCAGTAGAGCCAACCCAGAAGAATCCTTCTGGTGAGGTGCCTGGAATAATGATATGCACACCAACAGGCACATATTTACTAAACATCATATCATGCTTGTCATGTAATCTTACCAAAACTAACTATTACCTAAGTGAGTGAGTTAAGTTTAACACCGCAGTATTCCAGCAATATCAAGGGGGGGGACACCAGAAATTGACTTCACATATTGTACCCATGTGGGGAATCGAACGTCTATGGCGTGACGAGCGAATGCTTTAACCACTGGGCTACCCTACTATTACCTATTGTATCTGAAGAAACCATTTTTCTCCATATGGCAACATAATCGTAATACTATTATCATTTCTTTTCTATATTCAACCAAAGGTATATGTTACCGCTGAACGTTAATAGACCCGAAAACTCATATACTTATTATTAAGATGTTGCAGTCTTTCGTAGTTGTTGTTATTGGAATTATTGGTAACACAATCACACCGGCATAGGTTCGTACCAGTACCAGCAGCTTGGAGTGAGTGCGTTAAAAGTTAACGTCACATTGACAATATATCAGCCATATGTGACGACAAAGAGTCATGTACTGAGGGTAAATATATTTAAATTTTTTAAGCGAAGGACAGTATAACAACTAGAAGAAGAAGAAGGGTTTATTTTGTATAAAGGCCACACGACCCATCGTACAAGGTGGTACAATAGTGATTTTGGTTACCATCTTCATACAACAACGCTAACAGGAGCAGAATAAACATGTTCTAAGAACTTGACAAAACTATTTATGATGTTAATGTCGGATGATGTACATATGCTGCGGAGTGAATAATAATATCCATGGACCGTTTTCGGAATGTTACGCCGACGCGTATCCTCATAGCGTTTACAAATATAAACAATATGAATTTCATCCTCAATACTTTTACAGTGTTTACATAACACAATATCATCATTGCAAGAGGCAGTTCCTCTTCTAATATATTTGATACCTAGTGCTTTACATCCTGATCTAAATAATGTGAACAGATGCTTGCACTTATTACTTATGTTCAATGATAAATATTTTTCACAGGTCAACAGAGATTTATTGGACTTATAGAAAGACAGTGAAGGAACATCTAGGGAAATATGCCACTCTTGCAAAGAGCAGTTGTTAATTCTTTCAGTAAACATATATACAAACATGTTTGTATCACCGACATCTTGCGAAATCCAAGCAGTACAAGAGACAAAATAAAATAACAAATCACTGACATGCGGAGCCCATGTGGGACGTTTCCTGAATTCAACAGATTATAAAAATCGATAACACTGATATGGATAACAGCCAGATTATCAGAAAGTAATTAAAACTAGTTGGAGTTCAGTGTAAAATGCTAAATCATTTCAAAACAACACAATAATATAATCGGACTATAGATCACCAGCAACTGAAGGTAGATCACCATACTAGGGACCATAGGGACTTACAATACTTTTCCGTCCTGCATGGGCACTAGTTCGAGTTACACCATCCCTTCAGCCGCTGGCGATTGTTCTCCGATAAGAAACATAAAAGAACACATACTCTGCGATAAAAACACGAAGGATGACAAATACTTCACGGAGGATGACAAATACTTCAAATGAAATGTGACTTACATACCCTCTCTGGGGGACAATCCCAGTAGCTTGGAAATTGGTGTAATATATATAATGGTAAACGCGATGCTAAACCACCTTTCACCACCCACCTTTTAGGTAAGGTACATAAACGTACTATTACAGATTGAGCCTCCAAAAACTGAAAAAGACAAGGTTTATCTCATATCTTTCAAAACGCCCTGACAAACATAATATACTACCCCATCAAAAGTTTAGACTCACTTAAAGCACTCACTATATGTTATGTATATATATGTCGCTACATCGAAGATGAATGTCTCCACTAATTTACAGCCTAATTATATTCATGAAAATGGTTCATGGATCCCCGGTGTATCGTTTTGGAAATATTTCGTAATTACGGTCGTGCCTGAATTTGCAAGCTTGCCTCATTTTTTAAGATGATTAGTAGACTAGTGTCGATATTCCCGGTATGTGTCAGTTATGATGAAAATATATGGGCCTTAAAATATTTATTCAGTTATAGTTCCGTCAGTCTGGCCAAATGTTATTCAGGCAAAACTGTTTTAGAATTAGTCACGATCATGATACATTTTATGACTTCCTAACATTAACATCCTTTATGATAGATCCCACAACAATCCTACAGTGACGAGGACCTTGATTTTGAAATCATGAATCATGAATATGCGTTCTAAAACTATGTTTATACTTTGTTTTTCAAATATCCCGTGATTACGCTGATACTATAATTATTAATAGGTGACAAATATTCCTATACTTACCATTATTGAACATGCGCCTGACTATTTCGTGAAATACTGTGATAGGCGTCATCTGAGCCAGCACTGCTCCATCACTGAGACATGCGTCTGAGGCTTCGGTGTAATTACTAGTTTCGTTGGACAATTTCAGACAGGTTCCATCGATGAAAATGTAGTCAGGTGGGCACCTCACTTGAATAGAATAACACACGAAAATAGACTAAAAATGAAATTTCAGGAGAATCTTAGTTGTTTTCACTTTGCTGATATCATCGATTTACAATGAGTGAGTGAATAGTTCATGACATTACGGTTTGTGTCTCGTGTCTGGACCAGACATTTCATTGTTTGATATAGAAAACTTCATAATCATAGAATCTTACAACCAGAAAATATTCAGTTTCGATAATCTGCCAAAGCAGAATCCATCAGGGGTGGAAGAGAAACTAGCGGTATTACAATCCGCAACTTTAAAAGGAAAACAATAGATCGGTGGGCAAAACATATATGAGCATATACTCACCGATCATTGTATATGATTGCATCCCCTCATCATCGAGAGACTCGGCCTCGACTTCTGGACCGACGGTGTCAGACATCATGTGACAAAGTTCAGCCGACTCACTAAATGAAACGGAACGACACTCAGACTCCCCAGCACATGTTTTAGCACACTGAATGAGGCTCGAAGAGGAGAGTGTTTTGTACGAGGCTGTGACGTTGTGTTTAATCGAGTCCTGTCGAAACTTTGAGACCTTACAGTTCACCAAATAAACGAAATCCCACTGGATAATGAACATGCACGCTATCAGAGGAAACTTTGTGAACTCCATCTGTGCCGTATTGCCATATATCTAAAAAAAGCTGCACAGCTGTCTGTTGAATGTCCCGTTGAGCAAACGGTAGATAATGCCTACTGACATGGCTGCTGATAGCAACAGTATGAATTGATTATTTAACAACCTCCTTTTGGTATCAAGTGCTTAATACATACCAGACAGTTTTGAAATTTGTAAATCAGACACAACATCAACAGACCGTCATTATTCTGGCGATAAAAATTCTCCCAACTCCAAATCACATATGTGTCCATTATGGAGACACAATTTGACAATAGTTTTGGGCTTTTCCATTAAACCATTGTTGTCAGAGGCTTTCTTAAAAGAGTTATTATAAGTCCATATTGAAAGGTTTTCAAACAGTGGATATTGAATCCGAAGTATATTTGCAAATATCAAATAATGTGTTGCTAATGGAGGAGAAAGGGTATTTCTATTTGTCTGATGAATAACACTTGAATATCTTTTTATTTAAAAATGAATTTGTGTCAGATAATGAACAAACAGGTAATAGTTTTAGTTAAGTCAGTTGATAATTTACTTCTATGTAACAGTTCAGGTATAAAACAAACCAATTTTTATCAAAAATATTATTTTCTCAGACTTCTTTAGTATGAATTATAACTAGGTTACAGACCACTAACATAAAAAATTCATTATGACAACACATATACTTGGAAACCTTTGTCATCGAACTACCAGTATTAGGATTTGGAGGGAGGGAGACATTTGAAAGTCCACTGGCCAACTGCTCCCTTCGAGAGGCCATGAAAACTCAATAACAAATCCCGCCACGAGGACCGTATTTTTCAATTTCTGTGTTTCTCGGCGACCGACGTGGCAGTATTTCCGAATTTCTGTGTTTCTCGTTCATCGACCTGGCAGCATTTTAAAATTTCTGTGCTTCTCATAGACTGACTGATTGTAATTTGGCCGCCGACTCAAAAATATAGAAAAATTGTTCCATTGTTTCCTTCCTATGTAAGTGATGGGATGAACTTGTGTAAAACAGCTAAGCGCTGAGTATTAACATATTCTTTCTTTAGACATCAGTGAAGATCCGGGTTAGAATTGATCTTCAGTAACCCATGCTTGTCGTAAGAGGCGACTAACGGGATCGGGTGGTCAGGCCCGCTGACTTGGTTGATACATATCATCGGTTCCCAATTGCGCAGATCGATGCTCATGCTGTTGTTCACTGGATTGTCTGGTCCAGACTCGATTATTTACAGACCGCCGCCATATAGCTGGAATATGTTTGAAGTGTGACGTAAAACTAAACTCACTCACTCACTCTTTCTTTAGACTCATTTACGAATGCACTATCATATATTAAAGTGTAAAGAAACATTTTAATGACCGAGTTGTGTAAACTAGTGACAGTAACATCTGATTAAATATATTTTGATGTTCTCCGCTGGGTTCTTTTGTTGGTCTCTGCAGATTTTGTTTGAAATCTTCACAATCACTATCACAATTCACAATCAGCAAATATGACAACAAATGGTTTAACTGTATACATGTTTTTATTTCCCGTATTTCCGCTAGCTTTTCCAAGAAAAGACTTCTCGCGTCAATTTCCAAAAATTACTTTGCGAGTCCAAACAGTGATTGTTGAAACAGGTAAATTTAACAAAATTAAAACATGTATCGTTGAACTTATTTTGAGAGGTTATTTTCGCTAGAAGACGTAACGCTCTCAAAACCAGGTCCATGCAGGAAGCAAAAACCCTGTAAGTCCCCATGGTCCCTTGTATGGTGATCTACCTTCAGTAGCTGGCGATACTTATCCTGTTTTAATTATTGTATTGTCCTGACTGATATCAAATTTTAGAGATAGATGCTAGTTTTAATTCTTGATTCTGTGATATTCTAGTTGGTTTTGCTGTCCTTCGTCGAAAGGTTTTTAATAACATTACTGTATTGATATTGTATCTATAACTAGTTTTAGTCACATATGTTATATTTGGGATTACACTTTCTTAGTAAAGTACAAATTCTAGCACTTTTTTGGGTTGAGTCCCATCCGGGGTCCATGTAGGAAGCAAATGTACTGTAAGTCCCCATGGTCCTTAGTATGGTGATCTGCCTTCAGTTGTTTGCAATCTATAACCCTTTTTATATTGATAGGGGACAAGACAATATAAAAATGGGCTATAGATCGCTAACAACTGAAGGTAGATCACCATACTAGGGACCATGGGGACTTACAGTAAATTTGCTTCCTGCATGGGCCCTAGCTGGATTTATATCATCCCCTCAGCCGTTAGCAATTGAGATATATCTATACATTAAAATTACACATATTCAACGATTAAAAACCTGGTACACTTAAATTGACTAAATGTTTTGGGACTTACGTACCCTCACAGGAGGACAATAATTTTACGCTACTTCAACCCCCTTTGAGGGTACAGCCACTAACAATCTCAGTTACTAATTTAAACTACCAATAATAAAATATATATCTATTTACAAATCAGTTAGCAAGTCTAATTTGTTTAAAAAGGCAATAATTAAATGAGAACTTATATGACTAAAAAGATCCTTCATAGTTTTTACTTTAAAATAAATATCCCTTGTGATGGAATATTCAACACAGTCAAGCAGGACATGCTTGACCGTGATTCTTTCATCACAAGGGATACATAACGGAGGATCGTCACCTTTTAATAGGTACTCATGAGTATATCTAGTGTGGCCAATACGACATCGTCGTATGATGACCTCTTCAAATCTGGACTGACAACCCAAGTAGGTTTAACCAATATAGGGTTTTATTTCATGTAATTTATTTATACCTACTTGGGTGTCCCACTTCTTCTGCATCAGATCACGGATGTAGGTTCTAATGCTTGCTTTGTAATCAGAGTAAGGAATAAGAAGTGGTGTCACAGATTTGTTGAGTGCTGCCTTTGCAGCAAGATCGGCCATTGTATTCCCAGAAATACCAACGTGACTGGGTAACCAACAGAGGACGATGTCGCATTGGCCAGTTGCAAGATCATTATATAATTCTATAATTTCTATTAAAAGTGGATGTTTACAAGAAATATTTTTAATCGCCTGAAGGCAAGACAGAGAGTCAGAAAAGATTATGTATTGTTTATATTTAGGGTGTCTATTTATATATTTGAGAGCTGTTAGGATTGCGTTTGCTTCAGCTGTGAAAATGGTAATCTGGAAGATATTGTTTTGGACCCAATGACAGTGGCACAAGCAACCGCGCCACCATCCTTGGACCCATCTGTAAATAAGGATTTATATGTATTATATTTACTTTTTAATTGATTATATTCTTGTTTATATTGTAAGTCATTAGTTTCTGATTTTTTAAATTTAGTGAGTGTTAGGTCGACTTGTGGCCTAACCAATTGCCAAGGAGGAGAAGAAAGAAGACGGGAAGGAGATATATTCTCCAACTCAATGCCAGCAGCAGAAATATATTGTTGGATTCTTATCCCAAGAGGTGGAACAAGTGAAGGTTTTTTATTATACAAATCCTCATAAAGAGGATTAAAAACGCAAGTGTGAGCAGGATTGGATTCATTAGAATATAACTTTGTGATATATTGTAGGGACAATTTGATACGGCGAAGTTTTAAAGATGGCTCATCGGCCTCAACGTAGAGACTGTCAATGGGAGAGGTTCTGAAAGACCCAAGACAAAGTCTTAGACCCTGGTGATGGATAGAATCAAGTAGTTTGAGGTTGCTTTTACAGGCCCCACCATATACGATAGAGCCGTAATCAAGCTTCGAGCGGACAAGTGATCTGTAAAGGTGTAGGAGCGTAGCTTGATCCCTCCCACCTTGAATTAGACACGACTTTCAATAAATCGAGTGCCTTCAGGCATTTAGTTTTTAGGGATTTAATATGCGGAAGAAAAGTTAAATGAGAGTCGAAAATCAGACCCAAGAATTTGGCCTCTTTTACAACCTTGATGGGAGTGCCATTTAAAAACAGTTCTGAGTCTTTATGAGGCTTATATTTTCTACAGAAGTGTAGACAATTTGTTTTGATTTAGAAAATTTAAAGCCGTTTTCAAGACACCATTTATTTATTTTATTTAAACACAACTGCAGTTGCCGTTCAATAGTATGCATATTCTTACCGCGACAAGAAATGTCAAAATCATCCACAAAAAGTGATCCATCAATGGAATCGTTTAAAACCTTGGATAAACTGTTGATCTTAATGCTAAATAAAGTGACAGACAAAATACTGCCTTGTGGGACACCCTGATCCTGATTGTAATGGTCAGACAGGGTTGAACCCACTCGGACTTGAAATTGCCTGTCTTTTAAAAACTGTGATATAAAAAGCGGTAAACGACCCCTTACACCAAAATCATGCAAATCCTTTAAAATGCCATGTTTCCAGGTGGTATCGTACGCTTTCTCAAGATCAAAGAATAGCGATACTGCATGTTGTTTATTGACTATTGCATTTTTGACAAAGGATTCTAATCGTACCAAATGATCAATGGTACTACGATTTTTCCTGAAACCACATTGAATATTTGTTATGGGATTATTGGTTTCAAGATACCATGTTAATCGATTATTTACTATTTGTTCCATGGTTTTACAGACACAACTCGTTAAAGAGATTGGTCTGTAATTAGACGGATCAGTATGATCCCGGCCAGGCTTTGGTATAGGGACTACAATGGCATTACGCCACGAAGGTGGGAAATTCCCTGAAGTCCATATTGTGTCAAAAATATTTAGAAGAGTTTCCAAACATGATTCCGGTAAATGCTTCA